CCGCCCTGGCCCTCTCGCTCCTCCAGGCTGCACCCCGGGTGGGAATCCCATGAAGCTTCAAAGCACAAATGTCAGTGTGGAAATTGAGCAAGAACACCACACCTTGCAGTTGCGTGACTCCAAAAGGACTCCACTGTGACCCATGCCCGCTGACACACACAGGGTCAGAGGTTCGCAGTCCACGTTCTGCCCGTCCCTTTGGAAGTACCAGTCCACCCCACTGTGGTCTGCAACCCCCTTCCTGGTGGGTGTTCTTCTGCGGGCCCCCCGGGTGCTGCCTGCAGTGGACAGGGGAGCGGTCCATCCTTCCAGACCCTCATCGGACTCCCGACCGATGCTGATGGGTCTCCCACTCCTTCTGGGGGTGCAGGGTTTATAACGATGCCCAGCCTCGTGGAAAGTAGGCTGAAATTTTCTCCTGTTACTAAGGGGTATTTTTCTGTGTTAGTTAAATGTTTCATTGGTGTCATTTTGTACATTAAAACGTGCTTTTTCACAGTTATTTTCCCTTTTGAAAGTTTAACTTAATGGCTGGTTACAAAATGTTCAGACCCTAATGAATCCAAGACTCTCGATTTTCATGGGGAATGAAGGGCCTTCTCAGAAGTCAAACCCCCTTTGCACAGAGAGCGAGGTGACTTTCCTCCCGACCCACTGGACGCCTGTATTGGTTTGCTGTTGTTGTTGTAACAAATCACCATGAACCTTGGGGCCTTGGACAGTGTGCTCTTTATTTCCTTACCGTTCTGGGAACGGGGGTCCAAATGGACCCTCCCTGGGCTGAAATGGAGGTGTCGGCAGGGCTGCGCTCCTTCCGGAGACTCCGGGGCAGCGTCGGCTAAGGGAAGCAGCCTCTGCTCTCCAGCCCCGGCTCTCTCCCTCCGTGCAAAGCCGACGGCCCAGCTCCCTCAAGTCCCTCGCTGACCCTGGCACCTGCTTCTGTCATCCTTTGGCCTCGGACTCTGACCCCCTGCCTCCCTCTTTCGCCTTTAAGGGCCCCTGGGGTCACCTCAGGCCAACCAGGTCATCCCAGGTCACCTCCCCTTCTCAGGATCCTCACTTCTTCACATCGGCGAATTCCCTTGGGCTGTGCCCAGCCCCACGTACCCAGGGGTCAGCACGTGGGCGTCGCGGGTCAGGGGGCACCCTCTTCTGCCTGCCACAGTTCCCTGTGAACGGGCTTAGAGGCCGCAGAAAAAGCCCAGACGGTTTAGGTCAGTCAAACAGGACTGAACTTGAACTGTACCCTCGCCACTTGCCGGCCCTCTCCCTTTGGCAGCTGGCCGAGCTCCCCCGAGCCTCTCCCGTCCAGAGCAGGTGCAGCGACCCAGCACGGGCCTCGCAGGCTCGCTAACAGCATTCCACACCCAGCGATAACCTGCAATTCCCTTTCTGTCTCTTTTGGAAAACATTCTTTTTTTTACAACTGATCTTTTTTAAAAGATATTTTTCTGTTGTTTGCCCCCCCAAATAAGGGCCTGCTGCAGAACGCGCACTAGAGCCGAGTGGCCCTGCCGCCCCCCAACACAGCCCCCTGTTCCCTGCCATCATGAGGGAAGGTTCCGTGGCCTGTCCTTCACCAAAGGTCATGGTTCCGTTCACTCTCGAGCACTCCCGCCCAGAGGACAGGGTGGGGAAGGTCACGGCCACCCTCCGGCCGAGCGGCCTTTGCACACATGCCCTGGGCCCTTTCCCCTGTTGCCTCTGCCAGAGCTGCTCCCCGGGGCTCCCCGCCAGCGGTGTGGCCATTTCCCACGTTTACCCCGTGCTCTGTTTCCTGCCCCCTTCAGCTGCCGCCCTGGGGTCACTGGCCTCCCGATGTGTGCAAAGGACTCAGAGCAACCCGAGTGACGTGCATGGCCACTCCCTGGTGGCTACCTGAGCAGCGTGCATGAGGCTTGTCATCCTTTGGAAACAGAGGTGCCACATGGCCTCCTGGAAGCAGGATGTAATGTGTAGAGTGAACAGTGTGTACGGAGACCCTCCGAGGGCAAAGAGAGGAGTGGGGAGGAGTCACAGCATCCAGACGCAGGGCGGGTGCCCCGAGTGCGTGCTGGGTGAATGCTGAGTGACTAGTTGCCCAGCGTTGTGTGGAGAATAAAATTCTAGCTCAGAAATCTAGACTGTTCCGACAACACCGGTCCATTCCTGCATCTCCTTCCTCCCAACGGGCCTTCTTCGGGCAGGCTTCTCGGGGGGGGCTGAAGGACACTGGTTAAGGGGCAGCTCTGGGGACGCACTACTGCTTTAATCCCTAAGTGGCATCATTTACCAGCTGTGACCCTAGGCAAATTCCTCCTTTCTCTGAGCCTCGGTTTTCTCATCTGTACAATGGGTTGAATGACACCCACCTCAAAGGCTGCTGTGAGGCTAATGGGAGTTACTGTATGTGAAGCGCCGGCGACGTCCTGAGCCTGCAGAGAGCTCTTCGTAGGTGGGAACCGGTGTCCCTTCCTGCTCCCGCACAGAGGCCCCTCCTCCCTTCCTCCTTCCTTGTGTCACTCCCTCCTCTCTTGACAACCACCAAGCCCTTTCTCACAATGGAAAGGGTTTTCTTGCAAAGTAGTGAGGTCTCCATCACCAGTGGTATTTAAACAAAGCTCAAGAGACCCACTCCTCAAGATGCTGAGAGCAGATTCAGGCGTACAGAATGAGCCCCAACACTCTTTCAAACGTGGATTCTTGGAGTCTCTGGTATTTCTATGTATTTAGTCACTGTGAGTGTCTGTGGAGCTCTAGAAGTGTCCATGTGGTCTTCGACTTGAAATCTCCTTGCCTGGAGTGTGCTGGCAACAGCAGTCCACAGGACAGAAGCTTTCACTGGAAAGTTGAAAACCCTTGCGCTGTGCCCTGGCCGGGTGGCTCGGGAGCTGGCCAGAGCATGGTTCTGGGTACCCAAAGTTGCAGGTTTAACCCCAGGTCAGGGCACGAACCGAGGCTGCAGGTTCAATCCCCAGTTGGGGTGCCTACAGGAGGCAACCGCTTCATGTTTCTCTCTCCTTTTCTCTCTCCTGCACCCTCTCTCTCTCAAATCAAGGAACATGTTTGTCGGTGGGGATTGACAAAAAAAGGAAACACTTGCCATGCGACCTAGAGTCCTGCAGACCTCGAGGGGACCACCTGTGACGAATCTGTGCGGGTTCCCAGAGACAAAAGGCAGGAGCCCAGGCCGGGCCGGGGTGAGCAGGCCGGGGGCGAGTGGGAGAGAGAGAAGCCAGGCGGGGTGGTGGTAGTGACCGCTCGGTTCTCTCTTGCGTTCAGCGCCCTCTCTCCCACTGTACCAGCCACTTCCTGAAGGCAGGGACTTCACCTAATTATTCATCTGTGTGCTCCCTGCGCTGCTCTCTCAAGCGCAGAGAAGTGCTAAGTGCCCACTGCGCTGGGGCCTGGCCGGGCTGCAGTGAAACCTCTCCTGTTTCCTCCTCTGCCCCACGGGGAGGCAATGTCCCACTCTTGGCGCAGGCCGGCCCGCTCTAGGGTTGAATAACAGTGAGCACAGGCGGACTGGTGTCAGCTGAGGCCTCGGGGACCTCATCCAGAGTCTCATCCCCAGAGTCTTCATCCCCAGGTCCCCGTCACAAGAAGGACTCAAATCCGCCGTCTGTCTGGGACGCCCAGAGGCTGTGAGGCCTGGTGCCGAAGGAACAGCGCCCAGCAGGGGAGAGGCCGGTCCGGGCAGGCAGGCGGCGGGCCGCAGAGCCAGGAGGTGCCCATGCTCTTGGCCGTGGTCCCCACCAGTCCCCTCACTGTGTCTGCACTCACTGCGGAGGGCATTGGCAGCTGGCCGTTCAGCTCGTCCAGAAAGAGCAGCTGGGACCGCGGGGTCCGGAGAGACTCTCAGGCCCCTCTGCCCAGTGACAACCCTGGGACACACCCGGCAGTGTCTCAGGGACGCACACTGCCCCGGCCTTGGAGGGGGTTGTGAGGGGCCCCCGCAGAGAGCCCCTGGCTCAGCAAGGGTGGGCTGCATGGGGGCCGTGAGCCGTGAACCCTGGTATGGGGAGTGTTTGTCTGTCTGGGTGACTGACAGGACTCTGTGTGTGTGTGTGTGGGGGGTGTGATTTACCTCCAGTGTCTTTTTCTGGAGTGTTTCTATTTAAATTCCAGACTTCCCTTATTTCTGGCGTAGATGTGTGTGGGGGCGTCTTGATGGGTTTATGTGGATGGAGTCAACTTATGAGTTTGCCTTTGGGGGGGTGCAAACCCCTTTGTGGTGTGGGTATTGCAGGAGGGACCTCACAGGCACGCGTGGGCCACTGGTCCTCAGGCACGAGTGTGCTTCTCTTGTCCGAGCGATGTGGTCCTAGCCTGAGCCTCTTGCCTTGCTGTCCCCTCCTTCCTGCTACATACTGTATGTGTCCCTCCTAGGAATGTCATCTGCTGGACGGCAGGACTTGGTTTGTTGTGTTCATGGTGCTGTCCCCAGCACCCAGAACGTGCTGGGCGCCAGGGCTCGTTCACTACACTGGTGTTGCGTGGACGAATGCCATGCCCCCGCGTGTGAGCATCTTTCTGGCTGGGCAGTAAATCATGGTGTGAGCCGAGTAAGTGGAGGAGGGAGGCTGAGAATTTCTGGTGTGTGTGTGTGTACAATAGATTCAGAATACGTGCTAGCGTGTTTGTGCATCTTTCACGTGTTTGTGTGGCGGAATAGTCTGGTGTGCTAGTACTGACCTGCGTGTGACTCGTGAGCGTGTGTGCACGCGGCCCCCACCCCTGGCTCTGCTCCAGCCTTGCGCTCCGCCTGGGGGCGGGGAGAGGGGGTGAGGCGAGGGTACTGCGGTTCGGCTGCCCGCCCTCGGCGCTGCGGCTTGGGTACGTCACCGTCCCTCCCCGCTCGCGCCGCGGTCCCCGCCTCTCGGTCCTTTGTAGCCGGCCGTTGCGCTCGCTGCCAGCCGCCCGCAGGCCCCGCCCCGGCCCCGCCTCGCCGCGCGCCCGCCCCGCCCAGCCCCGCCCCGGGCCGCAGTCGCGCTTGGGCCGCCGCGGGCCCGCACCCAGCGCGGAGCACGGCGCACGGCGGCGGCAAGGGCCGCGGGCGGGCGGCCGGTCTCGGACCGGTATGGCGGACCGGCGGCGCGCGTGGAACACGGAGGACGACCTGCCCGTGTACCTGGCGCGGCCGGGCAGCGCGGCGCAGACCCCGCGCCAGAAGTACGGCGGCATGTTCGCCGCGGTGGAGGGCGCCTACGAGAACAAGACCATCGACTTCGACGCGTACAGCGTGGGCCGCCGCGGCTCGGCGCGCACGCCCCGCAGTGCTGGCCGGCTGGACGCCGTCGGCCTGCCGGGACCCGGCGGCAGCGAGGACACGGCCAGCGACGTGAGCGAGCCCTCGGGCTCAGTGGTCAGCTCACCGGGCGACCGCGACGAGAGGCCGCCCGCGCTACGCATCCGCTGCCCTGCGCCCCGCGACCTGCCTCTGGGCCGGGACAATGGCCAGGTACCCTCGGGGCTCGCGCGGCCCGGCGGAGGGGGCGGGGCCCTCCGGGCGGCTGGGAGCCGGGTCGCGGGAGGGCAGTGCCGAGGCCTCAGTGCTAGGGCAGCCGCCGCCGTGCTGGGCAGAGCTGCGGAAGGCCCCTCCCCCACCCCGACTCCGGCGTCCAGGGGCTCAGAGAGATTGTGCGGCTGGGTCAGGAGTGGCCAGCACAGTCCGTGAGACCGCGAAGGCGCTTTCGAGACCGAGGCCCCCTCCTCTTCTGCAAAAAGAGCCAGGTTCTGAGAGGCCAGTCAGTTGGCTAAGCTGCCACATGGACCCTTTGAACGCGAAGGGACCTTTGGGGTGACTTTAACCGGGGTGCCCTCCTATGAGAAGGGCAGCTCCGTTCCGCAGTGGTCCATTTATTTATGCACTCCCTCATTAGTAACTATAGAGCACCTACTACGTGCCAGGCTCCGGGGCAGGTTCAGTGGTACGTCCGTGGTCACACAGTGTAAAACTGGAAGACGCCTCACGCCTCGTGCGTTCCGCGGGAAGGATTTGGTTAACGATGTAGGTAGAACTGGAAGCCACGTACCCCCAGCACCGGCGTCTTCAGGGGCCGCTCCCGGGTCCCACAGCACGTGGCCAGAGTGCTCGCCTCAGTGTGCTCCAGAACAAGCTGGAGGCAGAGTGGGGATTTGAACCCGAGTCACTCATCTCCTCGTCTTCGAGGCCCCCTCCTCCCAAGTGGGAAAGCAACAGAATGAAGGGACGCCGGACCCGGGCTCTATGACTCTTTTCCCTTGGGCTGAAGGTTGCTAGGGAACTGGGGGATGGATGCCTAGCACAGCTTCCATGAGGTGAGGGCGAGGGCCAGGTGTCTGGAAAACGGGAGTAGGACAAGCAGGGCTGGCACGCTGCAGGTGCAGCCCAGAACTGGATGTCTGAGCAGCACGGCGGTCCCAGACCGCTGGCAGGTGCGGGGGTCCCGGCCCAGCGCCCCACCCCCACCCCCCGCCAGATTCACTGTGAGAGTTAAGTAGGTGGTGAGCATCGAGGAAGTGTTGGTTGTTGAGTCGTATTATCATCGTCATTTTACTAACCCATCCCCCCTTAAATGCCGCGGGACACATAAAGTGAGCCAGCCAGGTGGTGGCAGAGTTTGATCGGGACAGAAATGGGGGAGGGGGGGCGGCTCCCTGGATGAGTAGGGGTAGACAGGCCTGTGGCTGCTAGGGGTAGGTAGGCGAGTCTCCTGCCCTCCACCCCCTGCCCGCGACTTTGTGCCCGAGACTCGGGAACTCTCCGTGGTCCTGAACCCACGCCCCAGGAGGGGGAGCTCTACATTGGGAGGGTGCCGCGGGGTGGGGGCCAGGTTAGGCGATATCGAGAGACTCCCACCTCTTTTTTTTCCTACCCCTTCTTTTTCTCCCCCTCCCACCTTGCTTCTCTGGTGGCCGATCTCGCTTGGGATCCAGGCTTCCCAGCGCAAAAGGGAGGCTTCCAGGCCACGGCCTGAGAAGCGGAGGTCAATGCCGGGGAACCCTGGTTTCCAACCTGGCACTTCGCCCTCTTGAGCCTCGGCTTCTCCACAGAGGAAACGGGCGGTGTTTCCTCCAGGTCCCCGCAAGGCGCGGCGGGTACCGGGGAGGGGAAGGCGCTTTGTGCAGGGCGGGGAGCCGTCTGGAAGCGAGCCCCGGCGGAGCTGTGGGCAGTTTTAACCCACGGCAGCCTCTCCCCTTCCCCACCCCCACTCGCGCCGTGCCCTCTCTCCCCTTTCTCCACGGCTTCTGCCCGACAGGACAAAAGGCGGCGCCGCGGGCGCGCAGAGAGCCCCGGAATCACTCCAGGTTCCAGACCGGGGCAGCTCGGGCGGACCTCGCCGCCTCCCTGGGGGGAGCGTTTTACTTTCTGTGGACCCAGCAGCCACGGGGCTGCGCTCAGGTTCCGGGGCAGACCTCGGGCTCCTGCGCTTTGCGGAGGGTGCGCGCTCTCACTCCGCCCGTTGAGCTCTTCCCTGAGGGGGGGAGGGGGAGGGGTTTCTGCTGCGCCGGCGCAGCGTTTTCCGTGGCTCAAGGCTGAGCTACTACGGGGGCTTTGTACCCGGGAAGTCTGCTCGGGAGCAGCTGTCTGGCCAATCGCAGGCTGGTGCCCCTCCCCCGTTCCACACGTGGCCTTGTCCCCAGCCTTGGCACAGTTCTGCCCAGACTGACCCCTGCAGAGGCCCTGGTGCATGGGTCCTAGGACTTAACAACACTGAAGGAGGGAATGTAGATATGGGGGTGGGGGAAGAGAGTCCTCACGTACAATTTCCAGTCATCAGCAAGGATTTAGGACCCAGCTCAGAGCCCAGGCGAAGGAATGAGCTCTAGACCTGGGAGGCGGGAACCTGCAGCTGAGATCTTGGCACCTGAGATATTTCACCTCTGGCAGCATCAATTCCCCACCTGAAGATGGGAAAATTGTGGCCTAGTGTTCCTGGAATGCTGAACTGCTTGCTGTTTGCGAACCTACAATCCCACCCCCATGTTAAGGCCCAGGCCTCTCTGGCCGCCTGCCCTGGACTGGCGGACCGGCCTCTGGGTGGTGGGTGCTGTATCACTCGGAGCACCCCTCCCTCTGGGAGGTGCAGACTCGGAAGTGGAAAAGATGGGTCTTTTTGCAGCACCTGCAGGTTGGGATTTTACAGACGCCGAGTGAGCAGCAGAGGTTAGCGTTTCATTCTGCCTGGAGATTTGGGGACTTGCTGGGCCCCCTTTTTCTGCTTACCTCTGTCTTCCTCCTTTGTCATTAAGTTTATCAAGCTATGCCCTGGCCTCCAGCCCACCTCTCTGCCGGGGCCAGGGTCCACTCTCCACTGGCGGTCAGCATGTCCTATGCTTCCTGCCTCCCAGTCTGTTCTAGCAGGTGTGGGGGGGGGGCCTCGGTGCCAACGGTCCGGCCCTCTGAGCTGTCACAGTGTGGTGGGCAAGGCTGCAGTGGTGACCTGGAGGCCTGGCATTGGTGACTCAGGTGATGCAGGGGGTAGAGCAGGTTAGCCATGAATCAGGACCTTGTCTCTTGGGTCCCCACTACACTCCCTCTCCACCCTCCCTCCTCCCCCCGCAGGAGGCTCCCACCGAGACCTCAGGAGGCCGGTTCAGTGATGGGGGCGCAGGGAGGGCCACTGGGAAAAGCTCTGTGGAGAAGCCACTGGAGATGAATCTGAGAGAATGGCTAAGCTTTTGTCTGGGGTAGGATGTCAGGGAGAGAACAACAGCTCGAAGGAAGGCTGGGAGTTGGGGATGGGAAAGCGCGCGGTCTATTCCGGGAGTGGCGTGTGGACAAAGGGAATCTGGGTAGGAGAGGTGGGGGCGGGGGGGGGGAGGGCGCCGTCTCTGAGCCCGGTCCTGGCCGGCCCAGAAAGCTCCAGCAGCTTGGGCGGGTCCTGGGCACGCAGCCCCCACCCCCGCCCCCAAGAAGCTGCGGCCGCGGTGCTGCCCGCAGGCTCTCTGCCTTTGCATCGCGAGGTCCTTTCTGGCTTTTAAAAGAACCTGCCAACCAGCCCTTCCGCAGAGCGAGAGCGAGGCCGGGGCGCAGCCGAGGGCGTGTGCTGGGGGCGGGGGGGCCGGGGCCGGCGGCCGGGGAGGCGGAGGCAGAGCGGCAGGAATCGGAAGGGAAGCGCTTCCTGGTTCCAGCCGAGGGGGCGCATCGGGCTGGGCCGCGCCGCCGGGAGGAGCTGTCTGTCTGCAGCGCCCTCCTCCCGCCCTCGCCCGCCCTCCTCTGCCCGCCCCCTTCGCCGGCGGAGCCGGGCGGTGCTGGCAGCCGGAGCGGCGGCAGCCGGGAAGCCGGGGCGGTGGGCGCGTCAGCGAGCCTCGGTCCTCTCTTCATTCCTCCTGCGCTTCGTCTCCGCGCCCCCCGGGAGCGGGACCTAGAGAGAGCCCGGCAGAGCGAAAGGTAGCCCCCTGGTCCCCCCCGCGGGCTGAGGGCGCCAGAGGGGCCATGTCTTACCAGGGCAAGAAGAGCATCCCGCACATCACCGTAAGTCTGGCCGCCCCGCGCCCCCGTTCTTTGTAGGGTGGGGCTGGTCACGGCCAGGGTCGGGATCCCCCTGGGAAGGCGCCCCCGGAGGCTTTCCGCAACGCAGCGGGTGGGGCGGGGCTGGTCTGGAATTGCAGCCCCCTCCCCCCAGCCTCCGGGGACAATTGAGAGGGGGAGCCCCGCATGATGGGGCGGGGCTGGAGCCTCTGGTCCCTGGGCTGGCCGCCCCCTCCCCCCAGGGGATGTGCCAGCAGCGAGAGGCTGGCGTGGCCTGGGAGGATGCGGAGCCGAACAAAAGAGGGAGGGGCGCGGTCCGGGCCGCTCTCCCGGCCCGGGAGCTGAGCTCACGCCCGTGGCCTCCCGTTCTCGCACCTCGCCACCGAGTTTCTTCCGTAGAAAGGAAGGCGATGGGCCGCCAGCTCTCACTCTGCCCACACGGTTGGGGCGGCAGTCGGACCTGGAGACCCCGCCATGATGAGCGGCCCCGCCCATTCCTCGTCGCAGCTAAAAACACTGTCACCTGCAGCCAGCTGGCCGTGGCCCTGGAAGGGTTAACGCTGTGGCCGGGATGGAAGTGGGGGCTGAGCTGTCGCTGGGTCTCAGGGTGTGGCCGGGAACAAAGAATCCCTCCTCTCTACGCTTTGTCTCTGGGTGGGGAGCTGAGGGCCTCTCCATCAGGAAACCTGGAGTCGACCCCAGGGTCTGCCTGGCACCACAAGCAGGGTGCCAGGGCAGCCAGGTGCTGGGGGGCTGGACTCTGGGCGGGGTGGAACGATGCCGGAGGCCTGGGGGCAGGGGGCCCAGCACCCTCATTTATCCAAAATCTGGGTTCAGGGGCGCCCTCCCCACCGCAGCTGCCAGGGGGCAGCCGTGTGTGGGAGGAGGAAGCTGGTATGTCCCACGCACCTGCCCAGCGTGCTGCACACCTTGTTTTACTGAATCCTCTCGAGAAGTCCTTTGAGGGAGGCATCATTCCAAAGAAACTTCTAGAAGCTGGAGCA